TACAGCATAATTATGTCAACGAGATAAAGTCAGCTGATCAAATGAAAATGCTGGCCCACAGATGGCTCCAATTTCATCCTGTTCCCTACTTGTATGTCTCATAACAATAAAAATGCTTTCAAATGAGCTGATGTAGGTAACAGCTCTTAGCTTGCCAATAAAGTTAGGAATCCTTAACCTGTAAATAGCTTGTCAATAAAGCTAGGGATCCTTAACCTTGTCAAACCCTGTGTAAAAAAGAAAAAAAAAGAAATTGAGAGAGAGAGAGAGAGAGAGAGAGAGAGAGCGAGAGAGAGAGCGAGAGCGAGAGAGAGCGAGAGCGAGAGCGAGAGAGAGCGAGAGCGAGAGCGAGAGAGAGCGAGAGAGAGCGAGAGAGAGCGAGAGCGAGAGAGAGCGAGAGAGAGCGAGAGAGCTCGAGAGAGAGCGAGAGAGAGAGAGATAGAGAGAGAGAGAGAGAGAGAAATTTTTTTCTCAGTCAGGCATAGTCGAGGACGACCATGGGTAGGTGGCTGAGCGAAGTGTAGACAGTAAGCCTACATGAATGTAGTTCCCATAGTTTCAACCAGAGGGCAAATCTTTGGGTGGGCATGCCCAGGCTTGCCTCCTCCTCAATCAGTGCCAACTCCACCACGAGTCAACAACAAGGCCCACTCCATTACTCTCTCCTGGGGTGGCCGTCCAGCCCTGGGCACTTAAACACACTGCCTGTGTACCATGAACTGCAAATAACGTAAGAAGCCTCTGAAGAGTATCGTTGACCCCGCTACCAAACACACGTAATAACCATGATAATTGCACGAAGTCACGGCTTCTGTATTTTCAACAACACTTAACAGTTCCATAAAAATATTCCCTCCATCTTCCTGACACTTTCCAACTCTCCATCTAATAACTCCCCCCTCCTATTTTTAACTGTCAAATCCATTCATTCCCTATGCTTTCTTAACTTATTAATCTCACTCCAAAACATTTTCTTATTCTCAGCAAAATTTGTTGATAGTATCTCACTCACTCATTTGCTCTCCTTTTACATTCCTTCACCACTTTATTAACCTCCTCCTTTTTCTCCATATACTCCTCCCTCGCATCACTTCTACTTTGTAGAAACCTCTCTTATGCTTAGTCATCTTTTAATCCACACCATTTCCCATCACCCTAACATTCACTTTGTATGCATCTCCATCTAAAAGTATGTTAAATACTCAAGGTGACATGATGAATCATTGCTACGTACTACTCTGAATGGGATATCCCCTTCTCTCCTTCATACCCTAACCTAAGCCTCAATATTGACATCACTCTCTCTACTGCTTTTAGTAACCTACTATCTGTTCTATACATTTACAGTATTAGCACACTGCTTTTGTCATATGCCTTTTCTCAATCAATAACTGCAACAACCACCACCTTGTTAGGAAAAAGGACACAGGTGCCACTAATGTGACATTTTACTGTGGCAACATTTCACTCTCCAGGAGTTTTATCAAGCCATTACAAACAATACATGGACACACAGGGTATATATAGGCACAGAGTGAGGTGTAAGGTACAATATAATCATTGTAGTAGTAGTAGTAGCTGTTGTAATACTAATGGTAGTAGTTGTTATAATACTAGTGGTAGTAGTAGTTGTAATACTAGTGGTAGTAGTAGTTGTAATACTAGTGGTAGTAGTAGTTGTAATACTAGTGGTGGTAGTAGTTGTAATACTAGTGGTGGTAGTAGTTGTAATACTAGTGGTGGTAGTAGTTGTAATACTAATGGTTGTAGTAGTTGTAATACTACTAGTAGTAGTAGTAATGTATGTGGCAGTAATAATCGACTTTCTTGGGTAAAAATAAAATGGGTTGGGCAAATATTTTTGTTAGTGGGTTGGATTTGAGAAGGCCTGTTTCAGTGTTCCTCCTCTGTTATGTTCTTATGTATTATCAGTAGCAGCAGCTATATGATGGCAGGGTTTATTGTCTTGCTTCAGAGATGATGAAGCTGCCTTTATTTTGCTTAATGGTGTTATAAATAATGAATGATGATTCAAGGCATTTACTTCTACGGAAATTAGATTCTTTAATCACTAGTCAGGCATCATTGAATTTCATGAAGTGATTGGTGGAATTCCGGTGTTGTATACAGGCATTGTTCAACTTATCATTCTTGCGTGCATCAATGTGGTCACAGACATGTTTCGAGGTTTCTTGCTGTTTCATGAACGTGCATTCTGTCGCAGCCTCCATAGTGTATAGTGTAAATCCCTGCAGTGATTTTTTCATATTGCTTTGATTTTGTCCTGGTTAGATCCCTTATGGAAGTGCTGGTTGAGATGGCGACTAGTGTTAGCTTGTGCGAGTACTTTAGAAATGTTTAATGCAACCTGGCTGTTGGGAAAGATTATAACTTTGTTAGGAGTGTTGGTAGGCGGAGAATTAGTGATCTGCAGGGCTCTTTTCTTGGACTTTGTTGAAAAAGGAAGGAAAATGTAGATAAGTGAAAGTTTGGTGTATGAATGCACACTTGTCAAGAAACTCTGGACTATAAATTCAGTATGCTCTTAGAAAAAAATTTGATGATGATGCCTCTTTTGGTCTTAGTATCTTGACTGGAATAGAAGTGTGTGAGATCATTTTTGTTGGTAGGTTTCCAGTAAACTTGAAATCTTAGTGTTATCCACTTTGTGAATGAGGACCTCTAGAAAAGTTAGCTTGTCACTGGACTCTTCTTTGAGTGTAAACTGGATAGCTGGTTCAACCGTGTTGAGCCTTGCCTGAAAATTCTGCACATCATGAGGGCATCATCCATATAATGTAACCAAGTGACAATGGTGGGGATGATGTTGGTTAAGTGTTCAGCTTCCAGGTGTTTCACATACAAGTTAGCACCATGACCCAATCACTGCAGGGGTTTACACTATGGAGGCTGCGACAGAATACACATTCATTAAACAGCAAGAAACCTTGAAACATGTCTCAATGAACACATTAATGCACATAAGAATGATAAGTTGAACAATGCCTGTGTACAACACTGGAATTCCACCAATCACCTCATGAAATTCAACAATGCCTGACTAGTGATTAAAGAACCTAATTTCTGTAGAAGCAAATGCCTTGTATCATCATTAATCTCTATTTCTAACACCATTAAGCAAAATAAAGGCAGCTTCATCATCTCTAAAGTATTAGCAAGAATCCTCCTCAAGACAATAAATCCTGCCATCACACAGTTGCCACTGCTGCTACTACATAAGAACCAAACAGAGGAGGAACACTTGAAACAGGCCTTCTCAAATCCAACCCACTAACAAAAATATTTGCCCAGCCCATTTTAATGCTGCCCAAGCAAGTTGATTATTACTACCACTTGTATTACTACTACAACTACCACTAGTATTACAACTACTACTACTACAATGATTATATTGTGCCTTACACCTCACTCTATACCTATATATACCCTTTGTGTCCATGTATTGTTTGTAATGGTTTGACAAAGCTCCTGGAGAGCGAAACGTTGCCACAATAAAATGTCACATAAGTTGCACCCGTGTCCTTTTTCCTAACATTGTCGGTAATTCTACCAACATTAACACAAACACCACCTTATCCTTGTGAAACTATTACTTGCATGCTTCACTGTAAACACTTGATCTACACATTCCCTTTCTTTAAGCCTCCTTGCTCCTCTGCAATCCTCTTTTGTCTTATCGCAACCACTTCAATCGCAATTGTACTGTACACTTAACCAAGTATACTCGAATAGACTTATTCCTAGCAGTTCTTACTCTCTTGTCCCATTTGTCTTTATATAGAGGACCTATGAATGCCCTCTGTCAATTCTTAGATACCATCCCTTTTTTGATCCACATCCTGTACAAATAGACCAACCACTCCAACATTACATCCCCACCTGCTTTTGATGTGTGTCTTAATTCCATCTGTCCCAGCTGCTCTACCCTCTTTCATTCTACCCGCCGTCTAGCATACTTTTGGCACCTCTAGCTCCTCCTTACCCCTATAATCTGAGATATTATTTCTCCCTCTCAACTGCATGGGATCACTTCCTCCCCTTCATCCTTAGCATTCAACTCCTCAAAATATTCTCTTCATCATTCCAGTACATCGACCTCCCCATCTAACATTTCTCTTTTGCTTTTAACTTCATTAATCTCACTCCAAAACTGTTTCTTATTCTTGGCAAAATGTGGTGATAATGACAATTCATTCCCTCACTGGCTCTCCTTTTGTCCTCCTTCACCATTCATGTAACCTCTCTTTTCATCTATATACTCTGCCTTCTGTAAGTTATTTCTAAAATGCAAAAACCCTTCATGTGCTAACCTTTTCTCCCTTTCACTCTCTTTAGCTTAAAATTCTAGTAATCATTCTTTTTCCTATCTGTACAAACTGTCATATACCCACAAACTTTTGCTATACACTCTAGCACTGCATTATTAAATCTACCCTATACCTTGTCAACCTCATTTTCTGTACTACTCGGGCCCACCACCCTCCCAACAGTTGCTTATATTTTTATGTCTCTCTTTAAGTCATTAACTTTCACATCGAGCTAATAGTATACTGATGCCATTTTCCTTTACTTACTACCTTACTGTAATTTCTACTAAATAATGATCTAACATACCTGTAACTCCTCTAAAATGATATACATCCACAGGTACATAACATTACCTCTTTTCTATTAATACATAGTCAAACTGCTATCACTGCACCCTATATCATATCTCTTATACTTATTTATACTCTCTCTCATCATAAGTATAGGTATTACCTATTACCTAACCCCTTTCTAGGCATATCTCAATTAACTGTTTCCCCATTATCATACCAGTGGCACTACAAATTTACTTACTACTCCATCTACAAGGGTCTCATATTACAGCATTAAATTTACCACATACCACAATGGGTATTTCCCAAAAGAAGCAAACATGGTCACCATCACTTGGTCCTTAACTGCCTTTCTGTACAAAGTAATCAATGTATTACCTGTGACAATCTCTTGTCCATTTCAGTTACAGCTTTCTCAGCAGCAGTTTTCTGGATAAATGCACAGGCAATGCCTACATTCTCCTGACTGAGTGCAGCAGCCAACTGGTCCATCTGATCCATTTGCTGGGGCAATTGTTGCTGGTTTGCCTGAATAGAAAGAACAACTAAATTGATAATAATTTACTTATTTTAGCCATTAAAATTAAATATCCTATGTTACATATAACAAAAGAAGAACCACTTTCACCATCACTCATTCAATCATTATACTTCACTATACGTGATTTGGGTACGGCCTAGCTCCTGGCCCTACCTCTCAACTTGTTGCTTGCCAGATTCACTCTCTCCTAGCCACTTGGGCCATATCATATTTACCCTTTAAAGTATGTATAGAGCCTGCCTTCACCACTTCAAGATTATTCTTTACCCAACCACTCTGAGACTGAAGAAATAATTATACCTGTGACCCCAAGTACAGGTACCATCCGACTTATGACCGAGCTTGGTTCCAACCAACTGGTCGTAAGTCAAAATGGACGGAAGTCGAACCTTTGAAAATTGCCGACATACTGGGTAGGGCATAATGTCAAACCTTTGCTATATAAACTACCTACATAGTACTGTAATGTAATGTACAATCATTATTTCATTCTTTTTACCATAATTTACTTCTGTTGATATATTTTAATCATTTATGTACTGTACATTATGTATACATTGTAGTGAACTGTACTGTAAATTTTACATCTCATAGAGTATCATATGTTACTGTTATCTTTAAGTACTGTTAACACAGTGGAATGGGAGAATACACTGGTAGTGTCATCCTGGCAGGATGTTCTATAACCTATGCCCTAAGTAAAGAGAAACAACTCTGGAACATGTGTAATACGTATTTGGCTGGCTGGCCGGCTGGCCGGCCGGGTGGGTGGGTGGTTGGCTGCCTGACTGACTGAATTTGGATCTCTCTCCATCTGTATCTCTCTCTCTCTCTATGTCTCTCTCTCTCTCTCTCTCTCTCTGTATGTCTCTGTCTGTCTCTCTCTCTCTCTCTCTCTCTCTCTCTCACTGTGTATCTATCTATCTATATATCTCTCTCTCTCTCACTGTATATCTATCTATATCTATCTATCTCTATCTCTATCTCTCTCAGGTACACATAAGTAAAGTTATTATACATAGTGTAAATTACCTAGGATAACCCCAAAAATCCAGACAAAGTGCTATACAGTGGATCTGTGCTCAAGTGCCCAAAATTAATAATAATATTAATAATTATTCTGCAAAGTGAGTGTAAAACGAAAGCCTGTAATTGTTTTACACGATGGTAGCATTGCTGGTGTCCAATTTTCTGTCTCATGAACATGCAAGGTTTTCAGGTACGTCTTGCTACTTCCACTTACACTTAGGTCACATTACACATACATGTACAAGCATTTAGTATATACACACCCCACTGGGTTTTCTTCTATTTTCTTACTAGTTCTTGTTCTTGTTTATTTCCTCTTACCTCCATGGGGAAGTGGAACAGAATTCTTCCTCCGTAAGCCATGCGTGTTGTAAGAGGCGACTAAAATGCCAGGAGCAAGGAGCTAGTAACCCCTTCTGTATATATTACTAAATGTAAAAGGTGAAACTTTCGTTTTTCCTTTAGGGCCACCCTGCCTCGGTGGGATACAGCCGGTGTGTTGAAAGCAAGATTAATAATTTTTATTACATATTACATTAATACGTATGTACTAATATTAATAATAATAATATTATTTTTTTTTTTTTTCAACAAGTCGGCCGTCTCCCACCGAGGCAGGGTGACCCAAAAAAGAAAGAAAATCCCCAAAAAGAAAATACTTTCATCATCATTCAACACTTTCACCACACTCGCACATTATCACTGTTTTTGCAGAGGTGCTCAGAATACAACAGTCTAGAAGCATACACATATAAAGATACACAACATATCCCTCCAAACTGCCAATATCCCAAACCCCTCCTTTAAAGTGCAGGCATTGTACTTCCCATTTCCAGGACTCAAGTCCGACTATATGAAAATAACCGGTTTCCCTGAATCCCTTCACTAAATATTACCCTGCTCACACTCCAACAGATCGTCAGGTCCCAAGTACCATTCGTCTCCATTCACTCCTATCTAACACGCTCACGCACGCTTGCTGGAAGTCCAAGCCCTTTACCCACAAAACCTCCTTTACCCCCTCTCTCCAACCCTTTCGAGGACGACCCCTACCCCGCCTTCCTTCCCCTATAGATTTATATGCTTTCCATGTCATTCTACTTTGATCCATTCTCTCTAAATGACCAAACCACCTCAACAACCCCTCTTCTGCCCTCTGACTAATACTTTTATTAACTCCACACCTTCTCCTAATTTCCACACTCCGAATTTTCTGCATAATATTTACACCACACATTGCCCTTAGACAGGACATCTCCACTGCCTCCAACCGTCTCCTCGCTGCTGCATTTACCACCCAAGCTTCACACCCATATAAGAGTGTTGGTACTACTATACTTTCATACATTCCCTTCTTTGCCTCCATAGATAACGTTTTTTGACTCCACATATACCTCAACGCACCACTCACCTTTTTTCCCTCATCAATTCTATGATTAATATTATATAATTAATATTATTAATATTATTATTATTAAACTATAATATAGTGTTTACTCATTACTTACATTAAAATATCTGTAGTCTTAATGTAGAGTGAGAGGTGAGTAAACAAGATTAAACGAATAAACGAGAGAGAATGAGTGTAGAAGGTTCGCAAGTTTTGTTAACAAACTACAGTGGACCCTCGACCAACGATGGCATTGTATAACATTAAATCCGACTAGCGATACATTTTAACGCAAAATTTTTGCCTCGACTAGCGCTATAAAACTCGACTAACGCGATTCATTCCGTTCGAGATGCGTCCACGTGTGGCCCGAGCGCGCCTCACTTGTCCCGTGGGTGCCAGTGTTTACAAGCCAGCCACCACGGTCACATCCAAACATACAATCAGAACATTTCATATTATCACAGCGTTTCTAGTGATTGCACCTGCAAAGTAAGTCACAATGGGCCCCAAGAAAGCTTCTAGTGCCAACCCTGTGATAAAAAGGGTGAGAATTAGTATGGAAATTAACCCTTTGACTGTTTTCGACGTATAAATACGTCTTACGAGCCAATGTTTCTGACGTATATATACTCAATAATTCTAGCGGCTTCAAATCAAGCGGGAGAAAGCTGGTAGGCCCACATGTGAGAGAATGGGTCTGTGTGGTCAGTGTGCACCACATAAAAAAAATCCTGCAGCGCACATTGCATAATGAGAAAAAAAAAACTCGGATCGTTTTTTTGGGATAAAACGCCGACTTTGAGGTGTATTTTCGTATAGTATTTATAGTTGTATTCGCGTTTTCATGGTCTTAGGTGATAAAATGGAAAACATATTACAGAAATAGAGATGATTTTCATTACTTTGACGATAAAAACGACCTTGAAACTGAGCTCAAAGTAGCGGAAATGTTCGATTTTTACCAATATTCAGGAGTAAATACATCACACCACATGTCCAATACACGTCAACTGGGGAGTCTAATATTCTTTCACTAGTGCACTGATATTATTTATACCATTTTTACAATAATGCAGTAGTCTGCATAACAGTAAATTTTGTATTTTTTTGTATGAATAAAAAAATTAAAATAGAAAGCAATAATAATATAAGAGGGGCCTAGAGATGTGACTAATGAACAGAGCATATGTTATTTTAGTGCCACGAATGTCTACCTTGTTTATTCTGGACCCTATTTTGAAATTGGCATCTTTTTAAGTTTGCGTGAAATTGGCCAAATTGCCAATTTCTGACCACCATATTGGGTAGTCCAAATTAGTAAATGGGAGGTTTCTTGTACTCAGCTGATAGATAAAATGGAGTTCTAAAGAAATAGCTATGAGTTTGGTCAACTGGAACAATGGAATTGGCTGAAAACAGGGCTCAAAGTCGGCGAAATCGCCGATACGCATATGTCGCCGAGATCGCTAAATTCGCGGGAGCATAATTCTATGAGTTTTTGACCAAATTTCGAACTTTTGGTGTCATTACCATCGGGAAAAGATTCTCTATCATTTCATAAGAAATTTTTTTTTTTTTTTTTTCAAAAATTGAGCGACATAGAATGACAGTTTCAGAGAGGGGCCTGAAACAGTCAAAGGGTTAAGAAAGATTTTGAAGGGTTTGGGGCTAACCCTGAGACGCGTATGCCAGTTGTGGAATCCATTGTGCCTACTTCAAAGATTAAGGAAATGTGTGCAAAGTGGGTTGAACTGCAAACCTTTATGGATGAAAATCACCCTCACACAGCTATTGCAAGCCATGCTGGTGACTATTACAATGACAATGTTATGGGCCATTTTAGACAAATCTTAAAGGAACGGGAGGTACAGAGCTCTATGGACAGATATGTTGTGCGACAGAGGTCCAGTGACTCTCAAGCTGGTCCTAGTGGCATTAAAAGAAGGGAAGTAACCCCAGAAAAGGACTTGGCACCTCAAGTCCTAATGGAAGGGGGATTCCCCTTCTAAACATTAATACCATCCACACTCTCCCCTCCTCCCATCCCATCAATCATCACCAGATCTTCAATAAAGGTAAGTGCCATGTAATTGTACATGTCTTCTTCAGTCTGTGTGTAATAAAATTAATATTTCATGTGGTAATGTTTTTTTTCAATACTTTGGGGATGTCAGGAATGGATTAATTTGATTTCCATTATTTCTTATGGCGAAAATTAACGCGACTAACGATAATTTCGACTAACGATGAGCTCTCAGGAACGGATTAATATCGTTGGTCGAGGGTCCATTGTAGTTGTTGTTGTTGTTACCAGCCCGGACACGAATGGTTTTTGTTCACTCTGTCAAGCCGACTGGAAAAACATCTCATATTTATGTTAATTTATATGTAGTGGAAGGAAGGCGGGGTAGGGGTCGGCCTAGGAAGGGTTGGAGGGAGGGGGTAAAGGAGGTTTTGTGTGCGAGGGGCTTGGACTTCCAGCAGGCATGCGTGAGCGTGTTTGATAGGAGTGAATGGAGACAAATGGTTTTTAATACTTGACGTGCTGTTGGAGTGTGAGCAAAG